AACAATACGATTAGATAAAATAATTGAAAATTGTACAGAGTCCGAGAGGCCAACTGACCTCACAATAACAAGGAGATCCACAAATGAGATCTAAAACAAACACCAACAAGCAAAGATAAATTAACTAAAAGGCAGCAAACCTACTGAGTCCTTTAGCCAGCCTATCAAAGTAAAACTAACAAACAAATAACTAGCCACTGAACATAAGAACTTAGTTAGGGAAACCTAGGGAAAACAAGAGGGTGAAAGATCAAAGGATACTGAGCAAACAAACTACCAGCTAAGAAGAAAAACAGAACAGCTAAACTAAGTCCAAGCAACCAAAAACAACCAACATAAGAACTAAGAACAGATGATAAAGGAGAACTCCTGCCATTCCAAGAGCCTGATTTGACTATCTTCTTCTCAGGCTGCCAAGTCTTCTAAAAACCTAGAGGTTCTTGGACTTCCACAGCCACCAAAGGTGGTAGGTTGTAAGCTTGATTCTCTCCACAACTTCCTGACCAGAAAATAAGCACACATTCTTACACCAATACTTGAAGCTTGGGCGTACCAGAGTGTGTGCCATCCCAGCTTAGGGGTGCCAACTTCCGGATGATCTGAACTCTAAAGCAGTGGAAGAACAAGTGCTCAAGAGATTCATCAGCTTCACCATAACAGAAGCAAGTGGGGTCCAGGCTATGGCCTATCTTCTTGCTAAACTCATAAAGTGTTTTAGTTTTCTCTTGATTCTCAATCTCCATCTTAAGGTTCTACCTTTCTTGATCTAGGATGAGTGACAGCTTGATCGAGGGATGTCCAGAGATCTGACTTTGCAGCAATAAGGTGGGAGTAAGAGCTTATGTGTACAAAGAAGGCAGACTTACGTGTGCAACGAAAAACTTTTGTATAAAACTTGCTTTCAACAATCAAAATATCAAATTTTCTATTGGGAGATGTCATTCGAAAGCTTGCGTGATGAATTTTCTATTGAAGTAGAGCTTATGAATATCCAACAATGGGATTTGGTTAAACATAAAAAAATAGATATTTATCAACTTGTTTGACTACTGATCAGAATCCGACCGTTAGATTTTTGTAATATTTACCTCATTAGAAGCTTCATACTGAAAGCTTTCAAATGACACCTCTTGGTCGAAAATTGAATGAATATTTTGATTATCAAAAAATTTAAATCAATTTTTTTTATGTATACGTGTGCCTACCTTCTTCGACAATCGACACCAACGATTTAGTTTTTTAAGAATCGATGAACCATACGTCATTATATTTTTCTCGTCATAAGCTTCAAAAGTCCTAAATAATTGTAAAGATTGATTCAAAATTTATTTAGTTGATTATTTTTTTTTTTATAAGTTTTATATACTTTGGAAGCAATTTGTTAAAAAAAAAAATAGTTTTTATGATAAATTTGAAATGCTAAAATACTTTGGAGGTAAAAAAATTCTAAGGGTGCGTTTGGTTGGAATTGTGGTATTGTGCTTGATACTATATATGCGGGCCAAGGTGAGTTTTCACCTTATTATATCACATTCATAGTGTTGTTTGGTTAATAATGTGAAGTTTTTTTATCAAGCACATTAAGTTATTATCTTGTTTAGTTGAAAATTTATACGGAAGTAATAGAATGCACTTTCCATTATTGACCTCACTCTCCATCTATCTTTCCATGAAATGTATGAATGGTAACACTGAAACTAATAATAGTAGTAGAGAAATTATATATTTTCTGATTCACCAAGTAAGCAATTTGTCAATTGTTTAGAATTCTGCTCCATGCACAAAGTGGTACAATTATATATTGTTAAAATTAAAATTCAAACCACGTGTAGGAAGTTCATATGAGTCAATCACATAATAATGAATTAAGAATATCAATACCGATCTCCAATAAAATCACATGTTCAAGTACATCAAACCAAATGCGCATAAAAAAAAATAAAAAAAAAATAAAAAAAAATAGAAAAAAAANAACCAAGATTATAGAAAAAAAATAGTCATTACTACATTTATTAAGTATTCTATCTATCCCTATGAAGGTGAAAATTTGTAGTAAAATATAAGGACTTCCTGCCATCGCCTATGCCCCATTCCCGTCCACAAGCACATTTTAGTGCTAGGACTTGGATTAATAAACGCAAATTTAGCAGTGGTATGTTGCCTCCATGGTTGCATAAGCAAGTTCAGTCCAATTATCCCTGTGTTGCTTTAAGTTGACTTTTTGATGCACACATCTCCTTAGATTCCATCATCATATTTGTAGAAGTGATGAGCTACATATTAAAAGTACCTAATACACCCCAAAGGTTAGCTTAATTCACATTATTAGGAAATAAGCATAAGAGGAATATTAGTTGGAAAACTTATGTTTAACGACAAATGAATAGAAAGAATGCACATCCAATCCAGGTTTGTTCAAGAAGAGTGAATATAAAAGAAAACATAAAAATGTAACATATTAGAACATTGAGATATTTACTAATATACCTAAATTTTAGCCTAATTACAAATATTAAGTTGTTTTTAAGATATATCTGTAAGGACTACAGATAGACCTTGAAGTACTATGAATCCACTATTTTGATAAATACCCAAGTTTTGAGTGCAACCCATCAGCCAATTGAATATATGAGATTTGACTAATGCATAATGCAAAACATGTTGCATAACATGAAACATGGATCAAATAGTAGTTTATTTTCTTATTTATGAAGCAAGACCGTCAATAACAAGTTACTTACCTCTAAGAAATTCGATGGCTTTCATCCACAACTAGATTCAACAACTGGTCATGCTCCTTCAGCATCCCAATAACTAACAAGAAAACTTTAAAGTTTAGCTTTAAAAACAATCAACCAATAAGCAATTACCAATCAAATGCCCACCAAATTGAAAAAACATCAATAGCTATCATTTTAAGATCAACATAACATTTTGAACAAATCTCAACACCATTATTTCCTATCATATTCAGTTCCGCAAAGGCCAATGAACCTCCTCCTAGGAACAAATGATTCACGACGGATAAGATTAAATTATACTCAAATATGTGAATAAAAAACATAGAATTTCCAACTTAGCACCTGCTACTTGAATCAAATCCTTCTCTCTAGAAGTTAGCATGGCGAATAAAAATCGGTACTACAATAACTCTCACACAATACAACTTTACCCCAAGAGGCTTACATCCCAAGATAACAATTAAACCATCTTCATCTTCATCTTCTTTAGCTACATCCCATTGAAAAACCACCGTCGATAAAGGACTCCATAGTTACCTGAGAATATATTTACAAGTGTAAATATAAAGAAGAAAGATTATAGAAAAAACACAAATCAAATTCCTCCTAATACATTATCTAGTACGTAAACATACCTTCTTTTATAAATAAAAAATGTACTTCAAAGACCAATTATTCAGCCCGTGAAGAGCAAGATGCAAAATAAAAATAAAAATAAAATATCAGTATATAATGAAGTACAACAATTTATGCATTTTGGACTCCCTCATAAAATAAAGATTGACTCAGTACTAATGTTGAACTCCTGCATATGAAATGGAACATAAATCACCTTACATTATGAAAGTCACTCTAATTTAAATCTTTAAAAGCTTCATCCAAAATCCAACAAAGTTCTCTACTCACAATTACCTTGTTTATGTTGTCATAAAAATTTTACAACACAAAATCCAAATAATTCCAAAACTCAATATTTATCTCTTGTTATCTTGCATATATAAACAAAAAACAAAATAAAATAAATAAAATTGAATACTACTATACGTACAAATAATTTAAAGGGCAAAACCCCTCGAAGACAAACATGGAGCAGATACGAAATCGTAAGGAAAAGCAAACAAAAATGAGATTTAAATTTTGATTAATAATTATCTCTATAAGATGTGGAAAAATCGTATCTGGCCTGAACTCCGATGATGTTATATTATAATTTTCTGAGCGGGCGATTGGATTCGAAGATCCATCTCTATCCCATCTCACTTGCCACCGATCTGGGCAAAAAAAGAAGAAGAAGAAGAAGAAGATTGTGTAAGTTGAACAATCAATAGTTTGAAAAATATAAATATCTATTATATATGGCTTCGATTTCAGATACTACGGTGGTGTTCATGTTGAGGAACATACAATGGTGTTCTTCTCGTTCTGCTAGGGTTTGATGATCGAAAGAGATGGAACACAAATGATTGATTCTCTGTACTTTTTGTATTTAAGAAAGGGTAAATTGGACATTTACTAGTCCATCACAAACGTGGTGATATCGTATCCGGCACTAGAAGTGGGATACGCTATAACAGAATTGGAGGACAAAAGACCGGGCTCTAGCTATATCATGGGCTTTTTAATTCTCAACCAAACAACTTAAACTTTTTGATAAAATAATAAGGGAAATTTTCATCTATCCTACTAGATTTAGACTTATTTATAATTTTGCAACTACTATAAGTTTAATTGCATATGTACCTAAAACCATTTAATTAATTGGAGATTTAACTGATTTCAGTTACCATACAAAAAAACGTTGACTCATAAGAGAGAGAAATGAAAATAAATAACTTACTCATTTAATTCCTTAATTTACGCAACTGAAATTCCTTAATTTACGCAACTGAAATTCTTTAATTCACGCAGCTGTCAGGTGGTATATATTGCGTTTATGTTAGTATATATTCAGTATATGTGCGCAACTAGAATTTTTTAATTCACGCAGTTATCAGGTGGTATATATTGCGTATATGTTAGTATATATTCAGTATATATTGCAATGAAAAAAAATGTCTTCCATCAGAAAATTATATCTTCCTCTTTTCTTTCTTTTTTTTTTCTTTTATACATAAAAGTATATATATAGTTTAAAAACATATTATAACAGATTACTTAATATAAAACCATACATATAAATAACAACATCAAAAAAATTCAGTTTATGCTAAATATAAATTGATTTTATACATAAAAACTATGTCTCGAGATAAATTTCTTTATCATATACCGAAAATATAATAAATATTAACCATACATATACTAAAAAAAAACCAGTTTATGCTTTGTCAAATTCGTTTTCTAACAAAAAAATCTTCTAATATGCCCTACATAAACTATGAAAAAAACAATAAAAACAGAAAAAAACAAACATCCATTCACAAACTAATTGTACATGTCTAAGACAATAACTGTACATAACTAAGATTTACATATACTGTACATATAGTGTAAATATATTGTACATATACTCAACGTATGTGTTGTCACGTAGATATATTGAAAACCGACGACTCACGGTGCTGGGGCATCTGGGGTCGGTTGTTGTACATTCTGTCACCACGGACGCGCTCCTTCTCACGGCGCTGGGGCATCTGGAGCGGTTGTTCTACAATGTTCTCATGCTACACAAAATTTCAACATATTCTCATCAGCCGAGAAGAAACTTTCGAACAAAATCCACAACTTCTCTGAGCTTCACTAACCTTAATAACCAAAATTGGAATTGCATAAGTGCAAAACCAAATCCACAACTTTTTTGACCTTCACTAACCTCAATAATCAAATTTGGAATTGCACAAGTGCACAACCAAATCCACAAATTTTTTTAGCTTCACTAACCTCAATAATCAAAATTGGAATTGCATAAGTGAACAGTGAACAAACACTTCCATTGAGCAAATTAACAATTCACCTGAGTAAGTTAAATCTAGAATTCAAATCCATCTGTGAGAATCAAAGCTGCGTGAATTCTTTTGTTTCTCACTGTTAATTAACAAACTAGAATTATACCTCAAATTTTGCTTCGTGAATTAACACAGCTGCGTGAATTCTCAAATTTTGCTTCGTGAATTACAAAGCTGCGTGAATTCTTTGAGAAGTAACAAACGCTTATAAGCGTTAATTCACAAGTCGTATTAATTCACAAGCCGCACCCACATTATGTTTTAAAATTAACAAAGCAGAATTAGTCTATGGATATCAGGAAGATGAAATTGCTAAAGATTACCTTAGTTGAATAATAAAGATTCAAAACCCTGCGTTACGGTTCTTGATCTAAATGGAGAGCTGATGGATCGGGGAGATCCTTCAAGTATTTCAACTCCCCGAGAAAACAAAAGAATTGAATGGAGATCGGATGAGGGAGAATAGTTGGAGCAGAATAAAATTCCGGTGTGATCTTTCTTCCCTAATTAAAGGGTAAATTACTATAATTTGAATTCTGGTATAATTGAAAATATTTGTAGCTTCTTTAAGTAATTTTAAAAATAAGTATATAAAGGGTAAAAAAGTGTAATATAATTTAAATGTGTTAGTATGAGGTGTAATTTCCTCAAATAATAATTAGTAGGTTATCAAGCCCAATATGGGCAACCAAACGCAGCCTAAATGTAAAGGTGAATCACTCCATTTAGATTAAAAAAAGAGGAAAAATACAGATAAAAAAGAAAGGAAAAAGAAAAAGAAGATTTCATTNGCACCCAAATTAAACCCTTTTCATCTCTATCCATAAACGCTCACAACTCTCTCTCTCTCTCTCAGGATATTTTCGAAATTGAGTTTATGGACCCCGTTTTGGATCCACCACCGTTGCCGGACCAACTGACGGCAGCCGTCCCCGACGCCGACACCGCCAACCCCGTCCCCGCTCAAAATTACGCCCACAAGCATCCCCCTTACGCTGAGGTACTTCTTTCACTTACCAGAACACAATCAACCCTCTTTTCCTCTGTGAATTCATTGTGTTTCATTTCTTCATTTTTTTTTTTAATTTTGATTTTGGTTGGTGTCCTGTGCAGATGATAACGGCGGCTATTTCGGCGTTGATGGAGCCAAACGGATCGAGCAAGAGGGCCATAGCTAAGTACATAGGGGATCACTACTCTGACCTGCCGTCGACGCACGAGGCTCTGTTGACTCACCACCTCAAGCGGTTGAAAATCAACGGTCAGCTCCTCATGGTCAAACACTCCTACAAGCTCCCTAGATCTGCTCCCCCTCCCCCCAACGGTGCTGTTAACGCCGTTGCTCCTCAACCCTCTCCCGCTGGGCCCAAGAAAAGGCCTGGACGCCCTCCCAAGCATAAGCCCGAGGCCGCTCAAGTTGCTGTCCCTGTCTTCCAGCCTATGGAGAACACGAATTCCGTGCCGGCAATGGCTGCTGAGCCTGTTAACGGGCCAGCTGCTGCTGTCCCCAAGCCCGTGAGAGGCCGTGGGCGGCCGCCTAAGCTGCACGGGCTTAAGCGGCCGCCCGGCCGCCCCCCGAAGGCCGGCGGGCCCAGTGTTGGTGGTTCAGGGAGAGGCAGGGGTAGGCCCAGGCTTGGTGCACCTCCAGCCCAAGTGAGGAAGAGGCCCGGGAGGCCGCCGAAGCTCATTAACGTGATCCCAGGGTCAGGGATTCCCGTGGCTGCACCTGATGTGGTTGGTGTTGGTGTGCCGCCAGCGGTCAGCAGTGGAGTTGGGCCCGTGAAGCGTGGCAGAGGCCGCCCGCCCAAGGCCGGTGGTGTGGCTAAGAGGGCAAGGGATCTGAGTGCTTTGCGGCCAAGGAAGCTGTCTGGTAAGCCTGTGGGCCGGCCGAGAAAGGTGAGAAAAGTAAACTATATAATTTATTTGGTTAAGTGTAAATGAGTAAGTCACTTTTTCCCCCTCTTTTACTTGTTGCTGAAATGTGGGTGGATTTGTCAGTCAAATTGTAGGTACATGGTAGTACTATTATGACCTTAATTTAGGACTTGAAAGTTGAAATTGAGGCTGTTGTTATTAGGTTAATGTGGAAGTTACTGAGGTGACTAGCTTTATTTATTTATTTATTTTCTTTTGTTATATCTGTGATGACTTTTACAGTTTGAAAATGTTAGGATGTTAAATACATGAAAATGTTAAATAATGGTAAAATGGTCTGTACTTGGACAATCACATAAAATTCCAAACATTTCAAATACTCCAAAAAACTAATATAATTTGAGTTGTGTGTATCAGTGCACTGAGTTGTAGCGGTGGAGTCCTTCCATTATGACTTTATTTACGTATCGACAATTTAGTTTAACAAATTGACCCCACGTTATGCATTTACGCGTGGGACAAGACTGAGTTGTGTATGAATTTGCAAAAAACGTTAGGTGTAAGGTTTTACCTGTTTGCATTTAATTTATTAGTTTGTAGCATCAAGACTGAGTTGTGTATGAATTTGCAAAAACGTTAGGCGTAAGGTTTTACCTGTTTGCATTTAATTTGTTAGTTTGTAGCATCAAGCTCCTCTTTGATAAGTCGGGTACAGAGTTCAATATTTTATCAATCTATGTAAAAAATTCACTGCATCTACTATTCGTTTCTCGAAGCCAAGCAAGTTCTTTAACATTCTCTACCAAAGAATATATGTGTTTAGATAAAGATCTCAGAAAGAAGCTAGAGAACATACGGATGTGTTTCTGGGGGTGTGTTTTGGGAGAATAGAATATTTAGAGAATAAATTTCTAAGACTAAGCGATGGAGGATAATTTATAAAAAGATTGTGAAATGTTGTTGGATTACGAGAGACTGAATCAAGAAACGAGATCGGCTTGAAGCTTTCCCAATTTAAGTTGAAATACTCAAAACGGCTGATCTGTCCTAATAAGTCGAGTGAAGCAGGATTAAAAAAATGGATTCGGTCAGATTTGATTTGTTATCAAAAAAATTATTGCTATTACTGTTATTATTATTTTTTTATGCTGGCCTTTTACTTTACAAATTCAAATATGCTTATAACTTCAGAACTAGAGAGCCATCTCATTATCTTATTTTTCGGCCAGGAAAAAATATGGCGAATTGACCGNATGCTGGCCTTTTAATTTACAAATTCAATTATGCTTATAACTTCAGAACTAGAGATTCGAGTACTCTTGACTTGTGGCTTATATCATGGATTCCGTATATTCCATAACATGACTCTGACACTTATTAGTACCTCCTTAACTTCCAATTTCTAGTGAATCTCATAATTGAAGAATTTTTTTATACTAAAGCCATTTTAAGTGTTGCATGGTTACAGGTGCCATAAGAACCAAGTCTTAGTTTAAGAATCCTGGGAATGGTATTTTTAACTGTTGTGTAATGTTATATTTATTTGTGTCTGTTGCTATTTTTAAATAGTATATATTTTTAAAAACCGCAATATCATATTATAGCATTTGTGTACATGATATAGCACCATGGGATGTGAATAATAGCATCATATACGATTCTCACTTGTTTTTATCAGAACCCTGTGTGTGTGTATGTCTGTGTGTTAGCCAAAAAGGAGTGGCACAAGTTGAAGGGAACTTTATTAAGTAATAACTAAAACAGCTATATTGGGCCTTAAATTCTGATTTTGATAATGTTATATTAATCTTTTGGATGAATTTAAGTCCAGGCCTTAAATTAAGTCATTCGATTAAATTCAATAATTGTTCAACAGTTCTCTTAGATTGTATATTTCTGTGTCCTTTANATGATGATTCCCTTACTCATTCTTCATCCATGATTGGTATATTTCTTTCAAAGGAATGACCATTCCAATGGGAATTGCAAAATCCATCTCCATGGTATTAGCCATTCCATAGCTAATGCAAGTTTGTCTCATTCTCATATTTGTAGGAATCAAATATTCAAAAATAAAATTAATAAATATATATATATATAATATACTATAAATCATGGCTAAAATTATATAAATAAAATTATTTAAAAAATAAATTTCAAATAAAAAATTTAAAAACTTATTTTTATTTATTGTTCGTATTGTAATTAGATATATTAAATACTTATATAACAAAAACTTCAACAACAACAAGTCGTTCAAATCCAACTAAGTGGGGTCGACTTTATGGATCTCATGTCGCCATTGTACTCGATAACACATATCCTCATTCAAATTTAAATATTTTAAATTATTTTCTATTGTTTCCTTCCAAATGTTCTTAGGTCTACCCCTCCCCTTTTTAATTTGCGTTCTTAATTCTAATGTTTCTACACTTCTCACCGGGACTTCGAAGTCTCTTCTAGGCATATGCTCAAACCATCTTATATAAAAATAAAACTAAAAAAATGTATTTATAAATAATTTTAAAAGAATATATATATATATAGAGAGAGAGAGAGCCAAACTGCTGATCGTGTTCAGGCTTTGTGCTGACGTACTGATGTATTATTTATCGCAGCCAAAATTCATTACACATGTGATTTTAGAACAGTTCTATTCAGAACATGTCCTAAAGTCAGGGGCCTCTCTGTTGAATATATTTATTCATAAATTGAATTATAATATATATATATATATATATATATATTCATAAATTGAATTATAATTTAAAAATCTATATTCGACTACATATGCTTATAGTGGTCTATGTAATGATATATTTGTATTAGTTAATATGTATATGAATAAACAATTCACTAATTTATTATATAATATATATAAGTGTAACAATACAAAAATATATTTATTAAACTATAGTATATTGTTTTAAGAAATAAAATAATTTTATTATTATTATAAATAAAAAAATAACATTAATATAAATATTAATTTTTTTCTATAAAATAGTGATAAATAAATTATAATATAGAATGATAATGTCATTCCATTCAAGTCGTATACCTTGTGCATATCAAACACATCAATGGATAAACTTGTTTCATTCCTTTCTCATATTCATTCAATTCCTTTCCAATTTCATTCTATTATACCAATCATGCCACTAGTCTATATTACTTAGGCATTTCACAAACACGTAAAAATGTTTGTTCAAACACAATCTTATTGCTCATTTAAAGTTGGTGGACATTACTATAAATCATGCATATTTGGAAGGGAAGATGCATATCACTTGTCTTGCCGATTTACATCCATTAGTTCTAACTAATGGATGGTTGTAAATTGTGATTTGTCCGTACATACTCATTTTAAGAATGATTCTATTGAGTCCAAATCTCCACACTGACATAATGAGCTCTAGTAGAAACATTGGGCTTGTCTATTTAATTAAATAATATTTTATATGTTGAAAAATATTTGACATCAAACTGTTTCCTGAAATATGGATTTTCAGGTTTCTTGATCACCAAAGCTCTGCATTAGTTTTACCATAAATGAAAATTTATTTCATTAGATAAACTTTCAATCAATTATCTAATTCTAATCAGACTCTAATTTGTCCAAAACATTATTTGGTAGTTGCTGCACAAATGTAGCCAAGAATATATTGATTGCAACAGTAATGTGCTATCATCCTTATTGTTCTATTTGATCATGCTTTCACAATTTTTTTTTCAATAACATCCTACTGGAATCTGTTATCTTTACTTCTACATGTTTGTTTCCCTTTTTATTGTTTTGAACTTCTCCGTTTCTTGGAGATTTCATGGAAGCGAATGGAACAGAAGCATCAAAATGTGGAAGAATGGTTTTGGTTGGTGGTTACACTGTTAGTTACTATCCTTCCACTCACATTACCAGGACTTCAGCTTTTAATTCTGGCCCAGTCTTTTTCTTTTCCAGAAATAATTACAGTGATATCATAAAACAATTCCTTGGATGACAAGCATGATAAGGTCAAAGTACATTAACATTAAATTATATGAACACAATAAGTGAGATATACAGAGTTACGGACCAACGAGACTTGGATACAGTTTTAAATTGGGACTTATCCAAACTACCCCTTGTCTGAGAGTCATTTTATACCTATTATCAAGGTTTGGGTCAACTCTAGGACAATTAGTCTGTGTAGATTTCGAACTCAAGTGTACTCTAGTCACTTTTTTCGTATACCGGTCTGACAATATATGCATTGTTGGCCACTTTGTGTGAATCTTTGTTATCATTCTATTGTTGTACTCATCTCAAAATTTCTATTGAAGTATTTGATTGAAAATTGGAAGGAAACTTCTATCCAGAAATGGATTTCTTTTTTTTTGGCCCTCTAACAGTATTCCAATGTGAAAAGATATATTTGGCTTTTGGATGAATGCCTGCTTCAGTAACCGTGCATCTTGATTGTTTGTGTCGAATAGTCTTCTAAGATTGGTGAGTTCATTTTATTTCACCTTTTCTATCCATGTTTCCCTGAGAGCTGCCTGAAATTTATGCATGTGTGAGTACTTGCCAACTGAATATAGATCCTATGGAAAAGAACACTAGCAACTTTGGATGATAAATGTAGGGATACTAACAAAATATTACATATACGAAATAATTACCATTAAGGATTTACAGAATATAAATAAGCATTTCTATGATTAGGATTTCTAAAATCTTTAAAGTGCGTAACACGTTCATTTTTATTATGTCATCATTCTCGTTTGTGGTCTAATGTACTAATATAAGAAAAATGGTTCTAAGTTAAAAACTGAAAGAGCTTCGTGCATTTGTGATTTAAGAAGTGTGATTGTTACCTTGCTGATATGTAATGCTTTTCAATATAATTAGCATGCCTTGCTACCAAGAATTGTTTGCTGACTTTGTATAAGAAAATTGGGGAGAACAATTAGAAGTTGAACTTGCTTTCATTGGTTCAGGTAGGCGTAGAGGGGTAATGCCTTTCCAACTTTTCATGTCCTGATATCTTTTTTCTTTGTTTTTGTTTTTTTTTTTTCNAAAACTTCAATTTGTTCACAAAATAGGATCTGTAGTGTCCTAAAGTTTGAAAGAACTATGAATGTGCTAAGAAAGAGCGGTAGATAATGTCGCGTAGATGTGTGTAGCTCTTGGATGTACTCGTGAGATGTGACCAGTTACTCATAGTTAAATTTCTATCTAGCCTCGTTTTGCAGAGCACTGGAACCTCACTTTAGTTGTTACAAGCGATTAACTTTTGTGAATGGGGTCTGAAGATGTGCTTATCATGTTGCATCTCGTGTTTTATATGCATTACAGAACTAATTTATACTTTTTGTTTGTCTGTTATATGGTTGCTAGAATGCATCAGGAGGAGCTGTTAACCGAGGTGTTGACTCACAGCTCCTATTGGCCTATCTCGATCTCAAAGCAAAACTAGAAAATTTGGTGAGTATTTCACTCATGCTGTCATCACCTATAAGATGTTTGTGTATGTGTCTTAAACTTATTCTATAATTATTGGGGAAGTAAAATTTGGAAGCATTTACAAAACATATCCTTGAAGCTAATCATTATTATATTTTTGTGGCTCTGTTTTGATGGTAGCCATACAAATTAAATAAGTTGGAAAAAAAAAAAATGCACTCAACAGTACAACTGGCTCGCTATATTTTTGAAGAAACATGGCTATATCTTTGTGACTCCCGGAATAGGAATAGTGCGGCCTACTTTTTGCGACATGGGACTTAAAGGAGTTTCCTTTTTTCTTTTTTTTAGTGACATGCTAATGTATACATTTCTTATTTGCAGCAAGCAAGAATCAGTCAAACGGCAAACATTATAAAGCCGTATTTGAACAACGAGGCCTCTATTAATGCATTGCAAGAGCTTGAGCTGATAGCAGCAAACATGATTGTGCCACATCCACAGACTCTACCTCAGCCACAGGTCCAGCCTCAGCCTCAGCCTCCACTGCCGCCCGAACAGTATCCTCAGCAGCCCCAGAACTGAAGAGTTTGCTGACTTGCAGAGAGAACGTAAAAAAAAATACTTTAGCATCTGACTATTGGAGGAAGGTAAGAAATGGGGTCTCTTTAGAAGCTGTTAAAAATGTTTAGGATGAGTTTGCTGTTTTAGGAGGGGGGAACAGAACTCTGAGATTTGTGGGGGTGAAGACTAGAAATGTGATTTGGGCCTACTCTGTTTTCTGTTTTAATGTTTTGTGTTCAGGGGAGATTTTTAGAGAGCATGATTTGGTTATGAATGTGTTTGCGTATGTATTATGTTAGCTGCTGTATTATGGAGGCAAATAATTATCATGACTCAGTAGAATTCTTATCAGCATGCAGGCATGTATGCGAAACCTGGATTTCTAGCATTTATTGATTGTGGATTAATTTCTGGAGTATATTTCTGATTCCAGTTTGATTTAGCCAAGTTCATTCTTCGGGTTGCTCTCTGGAACTATGCATAGTTCATTTTTGTGAAAGATGAACTTTTAGGTATGCCTCAAATTCCACTTACATTTCTTTTTTTCTCAAATATTAACTTGTAAAGCGAGACTGAGACCCATTTAAGAGTTGTTACTTGAAGAGCCAGTGGAGCAGATATATCAGCTCCGGTTACTTTAAACAGTCTGCTAACTTTATAGTCAATTGTCTGAAGAATTTTTGAAAAGCAATGCTTTAAAGCAAAGCCCCCACTAGACCTTTTCTTTGTTTCCTTGAGGTCGGCAACACCGAATGCATGCACTCCTAGATGGCTAGACCTCTTCTCGAAGCCCATTTATTTCGTGTGCTATGTTATAGCACACCATTCTCTTGATACCTCTCTCTCAAACCAAGGCTAAGGTCAGTTTATTTCCAACTCGGGGATTGTTCCATATCATGATAGAAAATCAAATTAAATGAGAGATACTTATTATTTAATTTTGAAAAAATGTACAGATTCGTGGGGAAGAAGAGAGATTCTCAACAGCAATATGAAANACTTGGCTATTTATAGCAAGTCTAACATAACTTAAATTGCTATTTGACACATAAAGCGTGTTTTACCAAAGAGACTATAAAATACAACATTATACTCTAATATCCCCTTGCAAGAGGAGCATGAATGTTGATAATGTTCATCTTGGAAATGTAGTGTTGAAAAGGTTGTGGTCCAAGTGCTTATGTGAGGAAATCAGCCACTTGTTCTTCAGAACGCACAAACTGTAGAGAGACCACTCCTTGGGACAACCTCTCTCTAATCAAATGCCAGTCTATCTCTATGTGTTTTGTCCTCTCATGGTGGACTGGGTTAGAATGAGCAATGTTCAAAAGCACGTATAAGAGCCATTGAGCTTCAAAAGTAGTGAGAGCCAAGGCCCTATATTCTGCTTTTGCAGAAGACCTGCTGATAGTGGATTACTTTTTGGACTTCCATGAAATAAGAGAAATTCTCAGAAAGAAGGCATGACCAGTAATGCTTCTTCTAATATTAACACACCCAGCCCAGTCACTATCACTTTACCCTTTTAAAGTTATGTCCGAATGCCGTGAATAGAGAATACCTTGACCAGCTGTAGTTTTTAAATACATGAGTGCTCTATTTGTTGCAGATATGTGTTGTTGTTTTGGACATGAAATATATTGACTCAATGATTACACACTATGAGTTAAATCAGGTCTTGTGATGGTCAAGTATAAAAGTCCACATACCAATCTTTTATATGCAGAAATATCTACATGAACAGAGTCTGTGCTTTTATCAAGAGTTGTCAATTTTAAATTTGGATCCATGAGTGTAGATGCAGGTAGACATGGCCAACTACCAGGCCGATTCACGACTCGGCCCGGCCGGGCGGGTCGCCGGGCCTCAAAACTTGGGCCCAGAACCGGCCCGAACTGGCAGTTCAACCCGAAACCAATGGGTTAAAAAACACCAAGACCCGAAACCGGCCCGGTATTACTATGAGCCTGGTTCAAGGACCTGTACATACAGGTCGGTTCTGGACCGTTTCCAAACCGGGTTGCGGGTCGGGTCGACCTGGCCACCTCTAGATGCAGCTTACAATCACGGAAGTCAGTGTCTTTCAAAATGTCTGATGCATATTTTCTTTGGCAAAGATGGATACTGTTATCAGAATGAGCTACTTCAAGTATATATTTAATGATTCTTAAAATTTTAATGATGAAACAATCATCAAGATATCCAATGGCAATAATAGCATCTAAATTGTTCACAATAACTATTATATCATAAACAAATAAAACAAGCAATCAAATAACAAATAAACAAATATTATATCATCTACATAAACAAGCAGAACAATAATGAAGATAGAAGTAGAATAGACAAATAAAGAGCAATCAAAAGTACATCGTTTGAAACCATAGCTTAGTAAACAAATAGTTAATTTGTGAAACCATTGCCTTGAGGCATGTTTAAGCCCATATAAACTTTTTGTTAGTTTGCAAACTCTAAAATAAATTTCATCCGAGTATCGTGGGGGAGGGAGCATAGCATGGAAAACAATCTATTGCGAAAGAGTCAGGTTGGTTGCATGATTAGACCGTCTAATAAGGCAGACAAATGGATAATAAGAAATAAATAGGATAAGAACTACGCGTGGATTGGACCTCGTGGCCTAACAAAATTAGCAAGTTCGGGCACTCGGGCAGTTCGGTTAGTCTTGGACAACAAGGTAATACCCCTATATAAAGGGGTTAGGTATATGTTAATTTATACTTTACACATTCTAATATACTTACAAGCTTATATATCTACTGTTCATCATCTTCATCACTGTGTACTAACTTGATCGTCGAAGTGCTAACGTCGGGAACACCTTCCGACACATTTTTCAGGTCTTTGAACCGAACGTAGCGGATTCAAGGTTGTTCCACGCTGTCGAGGTCGTTTGCACACCAAATGTTAATTGGGAGTTAAGCTATACAGATAAACATAGTTTAAAGAATGAAGGATAAACAAGAACGAAATTTAAAAGAAAAATGAAAAAAGAAAGTTAAAGAATAAGAGATTGTATCATAAGATACAAATTCAAGAAATTATGTTTGAAACTGATAAGAAAAGAATACTATTTGTTCAAAATATAATAATGTTCAAAATCAGTCTTTGATAATTGTTAGGGTTTAGAATTTAGAAAGATTGTAAAATCTCTATTTCTGAGATTATGTGAAGACTATGCGAAAATGGCCTATGGTTCGCAGTTCTGCAAAGTTGTTTAAGATAGATTCTTTTTCTTTCAGTTATGTGATGCCTATGTGAGTGGACACATACATTACGTATTTTTGCTTTGATTATGCGAATCACATATCATGTCGCATAGTAATCGCACAACTAGGTAACGACATAGTTATGTCTTATTTAGACAATGACGTAAAAATGCATGTATAAGAAATAACTCATTTAAAAAACAGAGTCATAGTTACGAATATGTTGGTGCAATTGTGTATGGGTTTGTACTAAATGAAAATAGTTTCTCAGCAATTTTTGCTCCTCTTCCTCTACGTCCACTGCTTTGTAGTATTTTTTAGAGGCAACTTCCCAGCGCATCCCAGGCCATATATAGAGCGCATAAACCACATGATGTAGAGTCATCCTGCTACAGTACACTTTAATAATTTGACTCCATGATGTTCAAAGAACTGGCATTCCACCCCCTCCAGCCCCGCATACAGCGCAATTAGCAGAATTTGTTCTTGGAATGATCATAGTGCTCTGATGTTACCTTGTAGAATGTACTTATTCTCTTCAGTTTCATAATTTTCCGTAGGGGGTCAAGCACATCTATCCCATTCTTTCTAGAAAGATATGGACAGTTAGGAAGTGACCCCCCACATTCACGACTCCAAAAACATGTATGTCATTGCGTTGTCAGAAATTCATACATTTTGGAGGACAAAATTGTATCGAAATCACTAAACATTTAAGAATTTATTAGCCCCCAACACAACCGACTCTAGTATTTAATGATTTAATTTGCCCCCAACCGCACCGATTCCCCCAACCGATAACCCCTTCTTTCGCATCGCAAATCGAAAAGTTGAGAGCAAGTGGGTTCAGGTCCGCCAGGAGCTCGCCCCTCTTCTCAACCTCTTTGACCAACTCTTTCATAGTCTTCTATACAACAGAATAATATTATTATCAATATCCCATCTATATATAATTTCAGAATGCGCTGAGTCTACTTGGCAAACTCTCATGCTTCGGAATCTTATTTGACAAAAAATCATGCTTTGGAGTTAGGCTTGGATATAAATTAATATTTGTATTAATTGTATTTTAATATTATTTACTATTATAACCATTGAATTGCAAATATATTTTAAAAGTTGATAACTTTTGTATTTCTTATCGATTTTACATATATAATATATCAAATTAATCATCTTTTGATGAGTTTCGATTTGACATCCATATTGTATATAAATAAATTAATTATATTTATATTTATAATAATAATCAAATTATTTATTAAAATTAATTAGAACACAAAATTATTTATCAAAAGTTGATAACTTTTGTATTTCTTATCGGTTTTACATATATAATATATTAAATTAATCATCAAAAAAGTCTTAATTAGTTTGTTGTATTTGAATTGATATTATGAAGTTCGTTTGTATTTTACTATTTATTTTTATATATATATATAATACAAAACAGTAATATATATCTATATAAATAAAATTTCATTTTATTTATCAAACTAAATTAAATTATATCAAATAAAACTATAAATTATATTGTAAAGTAATAGAAATTAGTATGTATTCTCTTAAAAATAATATTTATTTCAAATCTAATTGGTATGTTGTCAATGTAATAAAAATAAATAATTATTATATAAATTCTAAAATTACATATAAAGTTAAAAAATTGTGAAGCACGACTGATACGGCACTGTATTGGGCATCTAATTATGTAAAAAAATTAATCTATTTTGCTTAATATTAAATAAACATATTCTACACTTATGCATATACATATCACCATATTATTTCTATTTATTTAAGATATATATTTTTGTACTTATGTAATAGTAGATAATATCGATATTTTTATATGATATAAGTAAAAAAATTCAACACAGGTTGACATTTTCATATAATGTACGGGTGTTTAATTATTATGATTAAAAAAATATAATTTGACAATTTAATTAAAACCCAAAGTAATGTTTTATATAAAATTAAATTATTTTAGTTTTTAAAAAAATAAAAAAATTAATATTTTTTACAAAAGCTTTCTAATTCAACACTCGTGTAATACACGGGTATTGTACTAGTTATTATTAAAAGAGAACTCACAAATGAGGAAATGGGTAAAATAAACTCATAAAAAATATAATCGACATGATGGTATAAGTGCCCAACAATTCTTCTTTTGGCTTAACCCCCCAAAAGAGAGGATCGCTTTGCAAAATCTCTAGGTAGGCATCCACGTGTTGTTTTATAAAACCAGAACAAATATCATCCATCAACGCTTATATAACCATAATATGTGGACCGAATTGTTACAAGTGTAAGGAAGTCGATTAAGGGGAAAGACGACCTAAACATGTCGTCTTTAAGAAAGATTAACGATGACAAGACGACCTCGAGAACAAGATGACTAAGTAGCTCAAGACGACATGAGGCGGCCTAGAAAGCCTTTAAAGACGACCTAAGGGGGCAACGACTTGAGGAAAGAAGACGACCTAACCTTTACCAAAAGGGTCGAGTGACTCGACCTTCTAGAGGATATAGTACGACTCGACCTCTAGAACCCGACAACCACTTAATTCATTCAATAGCTCGAGGTAGACCATCATATCATGGATCAGGTGGTCTCAAGAAGAGCCATGACCTAAGGCCATCAGGTAACAAGGATAAGAAAGAATCTTAAAGAGATAAAAAAAGAATCTAAAGGTGACTAGGAGATGACTAAGAGATGATAAGGATATGGATAAGCATCAAATTCGGACAGCTAAACAGGCTACCCGCAAGTACTCGGGTAGAGAATTTTGGTCAGGTATTTTCCTATAAAAGGGACTAAGGTTCACCAAACCCTATTTTTTTACATTCTCTATATATTATATACTGCTATTATTTAGAGAACACCATCATCATCTTCCTAGCACTGACTTAAGCATTAGAGACTCTTCACTGGAATACCTTCTGGCGTTGAGTTCTTGAAGGAACACATGTGGCGTTTCAGGCAGATCGGAACTTATCTCAACTGGTTCTACCTGATCTGGGTAGCGACCCATCAAACGCACTAAAATATTTATACATCAAGGTATTACAAGACAAACATATGCATAGCTCGTTGTTCTTCTCCTTCTCTAGATCTTGCATCATGGAAAACTTGTCCTTATTCACCCCATAAATTTGGACAACATTCCGTTTATTCTAATAAAAATCTATTTTTTAAATATCTATATGCTCATTGGATATATACATAAATCTCGCCAAATATCATAAATTTATTCTTTAAAATAATATAATAAGTACTTACGTCTTCGGATGCCATAAAATGCTTAAACGCCCCTTATATTTGGCATTGGCATACCGTCTAATCTCCTTGGGTTGAAATGGGCTTATAATACCACGTCCTAGTTATCTTACTCAATCAACTCTAATGGACAAATTTGTGGACGGTTGAGGAGAAGTGGACGGATGAACCAGCGACAGTTGTTGGAGACAACGGGGCGAAGACTATTGATGAGAGGGCGCCAGATGTCGAGAAGGGGTCGACAGCTATCTCGGTGTGGGTGGGGGTCTGCCATAAGGGAGATGAAGAGGGGTCGGATGTCTCATTGTGGGTGGGGCTCGATTATCAGAGAGGGGTGGAGGCATTGGCTGTCTCAAATGTCGACTGTTGGGGAGGGGGGAGGTGTTGGCTATCTCATTCTCGATTGGGCTCGGTTGTTGGGGAGGGGAGGAGGGGTTGGCTGTCTCAGGTTCAACTGTTCGAAAGGGGAGAAGGTGTAATCATATGTTGTTATTGGTTCTAGAGTTACGAATCCCTATAGTCTTATGATTATTATTGATAATAGTGATGACAATAGTGAATACAACTAATCTACTAATAATGTTATATTTATAGAAGTATTTTTATATGTAATAGTAAAAACTTTTATTCTGCTTTTACTATCTCTATACATGTTTATTGGAAGAATTTTTTATTTAAATTATAATTTATTCAAATCATTTTTAACACTTGCTAGTAGTTACCTTATTAATCCGCGGTTGTGAATTTTGAGCGGGTGTAATTACTCTTTCTTTAATTTTTGTAGCAGTGGGTCGTTTTAATTGATGGTCCTACTCTACTTCCCACTAGCTAGTCTTCGCTGTCTGTGAAGCTGCATTTGGCTTTTTTCCCAAACTGACCAATTACCTTCTCTCTCTCTCTCTTATTTTTTGTTTTCTTTACTCTTTTCCTTTCTATCTCCACCCCACCTAGTTTCTCTGTCATCAAGCACCCCATTTGACTATGCCTCTGTGCGTGTAAGAGTTTGCTTGTGCCCCTTCTCCTGATTGTTGAAATCGTAATCTGGAGATTGAAAAAAGGAGCAATCTTTATCGAGTTGAACCCCTCTTTCTGAACTATTCTTTAAGGGTGGAGGTGTGAATTCTTTTTGTATTTTGTAATAATTTGCGTCAGCGTTCTGTTAAACTAAGGATTCTGCTTGCTGTTGTTTACCAAGTGAACTTGAATCGGTATTTTCTCGGTGCTCATGGGTTCTGTTTGAAATCCTTGGATTTTTTACCCAAAAGGGTAGTCCAGGGACCATATATGTATATATTTCCACTTCTTACTGAGTTCTGACTTGCATTTGGCGAATTTATCACCCTAACTTGTATTAAGACACGATGGGAAGGCTTATGTGGTGGTTCTTGATGCTCTAGCATCGACTAATCATTAGCTTAAGGAGAAAAAAAGAGATGAAAAATTTCCTCAGAAAGCTTCACATAGGATCCAGCCACTCTGAGGATTCAGAAGGTCCCACCTCATTATCATCATCATCATCAAAGGGTAGTAATAACAGGTTGAGTGATGGCTCACCAAGCGTGAGGCTCTCACATTCCAAATCCGATCATCATAAACCCTTTTCGGCTATTTCTGGATGGTTAAATTCTGTCGCAAATAGAAATAATCCAAGCCCACCGTCTTCTGCTAACGTGAATAGACGTGACAAAGTAATGGAGCCTTCCGATTCGGGGGGGAGTAGTAATTTTGAGGCCGGTTTAGATGTAAGGCATGATTCGGGGTCCAACAACTCAATAGAGGAGGAGTATCAAATTCAGTTAGCTTTGGAGTTGAGTGCAAAGGAGGATCCTGAGGCCGTTCAGATTGAGGCTGTGAAACAGATTAGTTTGGGGTCTTGCACGTCTGAAAACACACCGGCTGAGGTTGTGGCATACAGATATTGGGTAAAGTTGTTTTTTCTTTGTTCTTTTAGTTTTCAACTTGTTTATTTATTTATTTATTTTGCTATTAGTATAATGTGCTTTGTAACTATTTTGGTTGAATTATTTTGCTATTAGTATAATGTGCTTTGTAACTATTTTGGTTGAATGTGTAGTTGGCATTAGTGACTCATGAATGTGTAATGAATTAGGTCTGAAGTTAGCATTGATTTCAATGCCCTGTGTAGTTTGTTTGCTAACATATTCATGGTGTTAAGTGCTTGTGCTATTACTGATTAATAATTTTTATTCCTTGATCGGTTTCTAGAGTTTGAGCCTTTGGATGTGTAGCGCTCCTTTGTTAATGCTAGGGGTTTAGGAAGTTGAATAAACTTATGCTCGAGGACTTTAGTTCTGGTTATTAAGTTGAATATGAGTCATTTATAGGTGAGGTGGAGCTACAGATGTAGATGATACGATTGAGACATTTTTAAGAAGTAGACATCATACTGAATTTTTTGGATAAGTTTTTTCACATGGTACAGGAAATCAAGTTATATTTCAACAAATCCTGTAAGATTTTGGAATGCAAATTGGTTTCATGTCTTCTAGTTCATCTGCGACTGGGTGGCTGAAATTGGAATATTCATCTTGAGACTCAAATATGATGCCTGGTGGAATTATGATAACTTCTGAAGTATGAATCATTGTTTTACCAAGAGCATAATATATTTGAGCTAACCCATCCTTCCTCAGCTGCTGAAAATACTCATATCCAGCTAATGCAGCTCATATTTTAATGTTTAATGGTTTAATGCAGGATCTGCACTGCACAAAACTATATTCATTCGATCATAAGAACTAAAAATGCACTAGGTGTTAAGAAAGCAATTCATGGATACCTCAACAGCTGATGGTAGGCCCTTGAATTGATTTTCATGGTAATAATAGGCCCAATTTTTCCCGCTTTAGAGCGCAAAAGATGTTGTTGTAATGCTGTGAAGCTAAATTGATATATGTAACAATGAGGATTACAGGATATATATACAAGCCAATAAGGTTCTACCCATATCTCAAACTCACTGCCTGAACATACTAAATTGAGTTAATTGTAATTTCTGTTGCTTCACCAACAAAGAGTCGTGTTTTTTAAAATTCCATTGAAGTGAAACGTACAAAATTTGTGTTTGGAGACTGGAAAATTCATTTATTGCAGTCTTTTGACCTATGTTTGGGTTCTCCACTGAAATGACTACTCATTACTCAATGTTCATTTGTTGTTCCCACAATTTCAAGCTTAGGTATTTACTAAACTTGGTATTTGTTTGCCACTACACATCCTCACAGGAAAAATTAAAGAAGTTTGACTGAGAATTTATAGTTTTCTGTTAATTACAGATTGGTTTGGGTTAGGTTTTTTGGGATTGTGCCATGTGCGAAGGCAAAGAACTTGCTTGTATTAGGGTTTCCTGGGAATTGCTAACTATACATTCTGCACTTCAGACTCCTTCCAAAATGTTATCTGCTTAAGATGAAACTCTGACGTAGCTTCTTTACAGTTTTGTTTCAGTAGCTTGGTTGTCTGCTCTACAAACCAATGCCAAGTTTTTCTTTCCCCGTTCAAGCACGACAGAGTGGCTATTTGGGCTTCAATCCATTACATATGCATATGTAACTATTTTAACCTTGATTTCTAGCAAGAAACTATGCATGGAAATCTGAAAAGTTATGCAGGCCGTGCCAATCAATTTTATTGTTCCCACCTTTATTCATTTCAGTAAAAGCAAGATGATAGGTTGGTTGTATCAATAGTTGCAAAATCATTATGAAGATCCTATTCTTGACTTCTCCATCGGTAAAATCGTTTAGGGGATGCTTGGCTATATCATATTTTTATTTTGTTTGGATTTTTTTGGTTTGGTGTGGTTAATTTTGAAAAAAAATGGTATGGTTAGTTATTTGTGGGATTTTAAGTTTATATTAAAATAATATTTAAAATAAAATAATTAAAGTTGATTTGATGTAAAAGTAGGAGAGAGATGATGTGAAGTGATGGTTAGTTAGAATTATGTGAGTTGATGAATAGTGAATTAAGGTTAATGTTATGTGTTAGAATGATTGATTGACATTATTTAATTATATTGAAAATAGTGATGATAGTGGGGTTGAGTTAAAGTTGGGTTAGATTTGAGTTAAAAAGGGTGATTGGTTAAAAATGATTGGATTTTTTTGGATAAATTTGTATCCAAGCATCTTACTAATTCCTTGCTAACATATCTCATATTCTAGATTTGTCCGTGCTTCACAGAATTACAACGCCCTTAGCTATGATGACAAGATTCTGGATGGCTTCTATGATCTGTATGGCATAGTGACTGAATCCGCTTCATCTAGAATGCCTTCCCTAGTTGACTTGCAAGCAACACCTGTATCGCCTGATATTAGTTGGGAAGCCATTCTTGTCAATAGACAAGCTGACACCAAGTTGTTGAAACTTGAGCAGAAAGCCCTAGAAATGGTTTCCAGATTAAGGTCACATTCTGCTAATCATGTCACACACAATATGGTCCAGAAGCTTGCTGAATTGGTATCTGGCCATATGGGGGGCCCAGTTGGTGATCCTGACAGCATATTGATATCATGGAGAAATGTCAGTCAAACTCTGAAGGCAAATGTTGGGAGCATGGTCTTGCCTATTGGTTCTTTAACAATTGGACTAGCTCGTCATCGAGCATTGCTGTTCAAGGTATCACATGCTTGTTGCTGTTAAAAATATTTCTCCAGTTAGTGCCTTACATTGGATAAATGTGGCTCAAATGGCCTGTAATGTTTATTTTGGTTCTCGTGGAGCTAGATCTGGTTATTGGTCTAAAAAAACCATGATATGTATAAACAGAAAAACATATAGTTACATGAAACAAGGACACACCCATGCGCATACAAAAAACTGACACTATATGTGCATCTATGTATATTTAATTTTTTCCATTTACTTAATATACACACTATTACCAATCACAATTCTTGATGGAGATATATTATCTGGTAGAAGTTGATACTTGATTGTGCTGTAATGTTTCAAGTTTTTGTATTTCTTTTGCTGTAACATTTAAAGTTTTTTTTTTTTTTTTTGGTTTGTGTATTAGAATCGTAAATGAATATTATTTGTGGATATCATGGTTGTGTGAATTGCTTTATGATTATTATTACAAATGTCATGCAATTGTATCAGCTGTCATGATTATTATTGGAAGTCGCATGCTTTAGATGCTATTCCTTAGTTCTCACTGTTTCGAAGAATGGAGTATTCTACTTGAGTATGTCTTATGAGCATTGACAGTCACTGAAAGAATGTTCAACCTTCTATTTCTTATCGTTGGGCAGGTTTTGGCTGACAGTTTGGGAATTCCTTGCCGCCTGGTGAAAGGACAGCAGTTTACTGGTTCCAATGATGTGGCCATGAACTTTGTGAAAATTGATGGTGCAAGGTAAATGAATCGACTGGCACATTTTCTGGCTGTCTTTCCCTCTAGTTGGTTTGCCTGTAGCTGTTATTCCATCATGTATTCAGTCATTTTTCCTTTGTTTGATTGTCTTTTCTTCAAATAGTCAATCATTATTCCAATGGAGTTCTTGTTGCTTTATCCCACATTAAATTAGAAATGCCATGAATGAACAGACTTTTTTTTTTTNAGTTAAATATATATATAAGTATATTAAGCCCGACCAGCAGCAATGTTATAAATTTCACCACAACTCATGTTTGACTCATTTATTTCACTTCGTAATAATTGTAATCCTTTTCCTAGATTTGAACTTTTCTGCTCATTCAATAACAATCTCGTAAAGTTTCTAGTATGTGATACTGTAAAGTTGGATTTAATTACTACCATGCTATTGATAATCGACCATTCACGAAGAAATGATTTTCTCCCACATTCCTCTATCGTGAAAGAAGTGAATCAATGTGGTTCAGGGAATACATTGTCGATTTGATGGCGGACCCCGGCACACTCATTCCATCTGACGCAGCAGAAGATTCATCATCTCTTTCTACAACCTCCATGCCTAAAGATGTTGTTACCCTTCCTTCATCTAGGGAGAATATCGCCGTGGGAAAAAAATCAATGCATGGGGGAGCACATTTCCCTTCAGCAGCCCCCAAGCACAAGTCCGATGGTTCAAAAAAGCCAAAGGACACGACAGAAATCTCCCCCAAGCCCGTTCATCCTTACGCACACGCTCGATCACCTTCATGGACCGAAGGCATAAGCTCGCCAGCTGTCCGCAGGATGAAAGTGAAAGACGTTTCCCAATACATGATCGACGCCGCAAAAGAGAACCCAAACTTAGCCCAAAAGCTCCACGACGTCTTGCTCGAGAGCGGCGTCGTCGCGCCGCCCGACCTTTTCACCGAGATGTACGCGAACCACCCGCTCAACCCTTCTTCTCAAGAACTCGAAAAGGAAAAAAAAGACAAACAAACGAGCGTGGGCCACAAAAACCCCGACCGAACCACCTTCCACCTCCCTCCACTCCCGCGCTCCAAGCATCACGAGCCAGCCGAGCAGGACGTCCATTCAGATTCCGAGGCAGTGGGCCCCACAAAGTACCCGAGGAACGTCCCGGTGGCAGCAGCAGCTGCTGCTGCTGCAGCTGTGGTGGCTTCGTCTATGGTGGTTGCCGCCGCAAAGGCGAGCGGCGACACGGCGCTGCAGCTTCCGGTGGGGGCTGCGGCCACGGCCACGGCGGCGGCAGTGGTGGCCACGACTGCAGCCGTTACGAAGCAGTATGGTGGGGCACTTGAACCGGGAGATGGGGATGCTGCTGAGAATGCGGTTTGCGAGCAGGAGAGTGGTGGTGCGGGCGGGAATTCGGAAGGGGAGAGAGTGTCGGACAGGTCGACGGGGAACGAGAGTTCGAAATCCGACGCGACGCTCGATGACGTGGCGGATTGCGAGATTCCGTTGGAGGATATCGCCTTGGGTGAGCGTATCGGGCTTGGTAACTAATCTTTTAGCTTTTACTATGGTCGTTTTTTGAGGAATCGTTGAGATCAGATTGGATGACATATGTTGTGTTTTTATTTTTTGGATTTTTTTTTTTTTTTTTNTATGGTGAGGTGTACCATGGGGACTGGCATGGAACTGTGAGTTTCTCGAACTTGTGTGTGGGGTTCTGCACCCAACTTTGTGTTGTGTAGCAATTGAAGACATGATAAATGAATATATTTTATTACTCCCAGTTTTAAGTTACAGTGGAGGTAACTTGCAAAGAGGTCTCTTAACACTTCACAGTTTTATTTCTTCCATTTGTTCCCTTTTTTTCTCTACTTCTTCCTCATCTACCTCTATGTCTGCACCCTTTTCTTCCCACATCTCAGCTCTTTTTTTTGTCTCCAATACATCTAACAGTAAAAAAATTGGATGAGCTTACTTATATTAGGGTGTTGGGGTAGGATGCTCTGGGACTGATTTGTTCATTATTTCTAGGGTGGAGTTGAGCCAGTGGAATTAGATGGAAGGGTTGTTTGATAAGTTTAGTCTGAGACCAAAACTGCCTTCATTTGCTTTCAACATCCCCATATTGTCCATCCTGTAATGTTTCCTTTGAGATTTCCTTTGACCTTTTTCCCATAGAATCTATCTAGGTGGCCTATATTTCCACAGTAATAGCACAAATTGACCAACTTTTCATACTGGAAAACCCACCACTTACGCTCCTGCAGTTTTATCCTAGCACATCTTGATATAGGCTCTATCACATCCAATGTAACCAGAAGATAGATAAAACTACCCCTGTGACCACCTGTTTTAATCACAACCATGTTTTTTAGCTTCTTAAAAGTTCGTCAAATTTTGACTCCTACTTATGCGCATAACCAATTTTGAGGTACATTGTTCATCTGGACCCATAAATTGATCTGGTTGAAATTTGGATGTTCTTCGTTCAATCCATCTTCCCATTTGTGTAGGACTAAGTATTGATTTTCGAAAACCTATTTAATGCATCAGGCCACTTTTTTCTTATCGTCAAGATTTCCAAAGAAAAACTGGAAAAAGTTTGGCCCTATCTCCCGCACCTTGACCGAATATTAGATCTGTGGGTGTACAAAACTTACAATTCAGTCCTTTTCACCTCCTTGATTCTGGTTTTTTTCAGTGTGTTGTCTATTCCTATTCTATTGTAATTTGGGGTTGAAGACTCTTAAATACTGGCTTTGTCTGTGTAACTTAGGGACAGAACTTAAAATAATATTGCATTCATTGGCTCTGGAGGATTTATGTATGCAAATAAGTGGACATTCTTCTTTTTACAGCATTTACCTAATCAGATAGTTCTAAATTGTAGAGTTGTCTGCATGACTGTTCTAAGTTTCTTCTATGTTGATGTTCCTTAAATTTTAGTAAACAATTTAAAGTTTTCTTGTGCCTAACTTTTACTTTGATTTCTTATACTCTGATCGTTCTTCAATCTCTGTACGTTCTTCATTTATTCTTTTATAGTTTTGTCCTTCCCCTTGGCGTCTGGTTTGGACGGGATGTACTAACCCTCAATTGCAACTTCTAGGAAGTTGCTGTAAAGAGGTTCCTTGACCAAGATATAACTGGTGAATCTCTCGAGGAATTCAAAAGTGAGGTAGAATTGATTTTCTGCATGGCCTCGCACTTTTTAGACATTGGAGCAACATCTAATATGTTGTATGGTCCCCAATTAGCGAGTCTTCATTTTTCACTAGGGATGTGGTTTGAATTTATGCTATAGATCATATAAAAACAGTGACGGACCCTGTAATGAGCCACTATATCTTCAAACAATTAGATATTAACTTGTGTTTTGTTGAATCGCGTTGATGTTTCACACTTTAAATAACTCCATAGAACAATCTCAATAAACTCCTCTGCTCTCTCTCTCTAACTCTTTTTTTTTTTCCCCTTTCTTTCATTTGAAATTTTTGGGTTTGCTGAGTCATTCGTGGAATGACCTGAACAAGTTTCTCCGTCTGTCTATGCTAGGTCCGGATCATGAAAAGAGTCAGGCACCCAAATGTTGTTCTCTTTATGGGAGCAGTTACTCGTCCTCCACATCTTTCAATTGTTACTGAATTCCTTCCTAGGTATGCTAGTTATTCGGCTTTCCCCACTTTGGAAATTCATGTTTCATTATTATCAAGTATGACCTCCATGTGTGGCTTGCTTATGCTGCTTCTTAGTTTTGCACCAAGAAGTACCTGCCAGTGTTAAACTTTACTAGACCGATTCAAACAAAATTATGGCAGTTGAATCTGATTTGACTCTGGATAAAAATTCAAAATGAGAAATTTCTTAAATAATCTATTTTGGGGGTAATTCATGATTGTAACAGGATTTTATCTTGATAGAGTCCAGGATTTACGTCATGAAATAAATATTATTTAGCAGAAACATGAGGTTCTCCCCGAAGCTCACAAAAAATAATTCTCCAGTGCCTTCTGCAAAAGACTACGACTCACTTAAATAGAATACTATTCCTAGCTAAGTAACCCCACTAATTTACATTAAATAATTATGACATTGAAATACAGAAGCGGCAGATTGGTCTGTGACATATCTTTGGACATTTTATAGTGTTTGAATAATCACTGCAGATCTACAATAACAAAGCAAAAGATGTCTAAGTAAACTGATAATTAAAATGATGGAACATGTTACATGTTTTTGTTTAGTAGTACAAATGTTCGATTTGAACATCCAAACCATGTTCGCTATGTTTACATACATAATTTCATGGGTAATTAACTATAGCCTTTTGTTGGGAGTCCAGGAGTCAAGATTTTACAATTTCGTATTCTGTTACAATTTTGCTACCATATGTTTTCATCAATTGAGTTGCAGTTCGGGGGTTTGTATTAATGTATTCTTTGCCTTCCCAGAGGCAGTTTGTACAGATTACTTCATCGCCCAAACAATCAACTTGACGAGCGTAGGCGTTTGAGAATGGCTCTTGATGCAGTATGCTACCTACTTTTACTATTATTATTATAACTCGTTCACTTCTCATTAGGGTGAAGTTGCTGTGTTAATGAAATGCATTTACTATCAGGCCAGAGGAATGAATTATTTGCATAACTGCACCCCAGTGATAGTGCATCGAGATTTGAAGTCCCCAAATCTTCTTGTTGATAAGAACTGGGTTGTAAAGGTAAAATTCTTATAAATTGGAAATTATGATATTAGAACCTTGTATGAAATTTTAACCCACACCATTTGTTCTTTGTTATTAGGTATGTGATTTTGGATTATCAAGAATGAAGCACAACACATTTCTTTCTTCAAGATCGACTGCTGGGACGGTAAGATGAGCTTGTTTTCTTTTTCTCTCGTCTTCTCTTTTACAATAATTGTTTTCCTTATGCTGCGCGTGTGATTTTTTTATTTTTATTTTTTAAATTCTCCCTGTAGTGTTATTGTACCCCCATTCTTTTGTACGACCAGCTTATAAATTTGAAAATCCATTAAGATTTATTTTTATTTGGCGTTTGTTTATGTATCGATGTGTTCACATAATTCAATGTTGGATCAGGTGCTCCTTTTCTGTAGTCTTGTTCCATTGCACCATCTCAAATTGTGTCTGTTTCCTTTGATAATTTTCAAGATAGCTACACCGATGTTGCTTTTGTTACCCTCAGGCCTTTGGAGATGCTTGATTGCCAACTTTTGCCTTCAAAAGAGGTTGTCTTCTGTAGTTTTTCTTTTTCAAAGATAAATTCAGATTTAAAATGATTGTATTTTGTGGAAAAGGCTTGCGCCATTTTTGAAGTTTTAGAGGGTGTCGGATTCTGTTTCATTTTGAAAATATCACTGGCATTGAAGAGCTTTTTGAAAGATGAAAATCATTTGGAGTTTGAATAGATATGCGATGAAGGTTCAATGATTAAATTTGTTTGATAAAAGATGGCTGAACAACGGTTGGTAGTTAGGGTAGTTAGATTCACGAGTATCTGAATGGTGAAGTTATGGAAAAATGTGTAATAATGATTTGATATTGGATGCGTGGAACTATTTAGAAATGTGTTGGAAGTGAATGAATAGTATATTTTTCAAGGCTATTTGTATAAATCTCTAGAAAAAGACCAAGATGGAAAATTCTTAAAAATGAGATTGTTTCCAGTCGAATCCTTAATAATATCATCCTTCCTTGAAGACATAAATCAAATTTACATATTAAAACAAATTTAGACATATCTCAGTAGTAGACAATATCATTTTGGGTAGCTTATGATGAGAAACCAATGGTCATAAGTAGTTTATTTCTTACAATGCCTAATCTTCCCCTCACCACTCCCTTTTATAAGAATATTAGTGCGTGGCCCGTGCGATGCACGAGAAAATAATATTACGATTGTATTATAAATTAAATATATAAATAACATTAATCATGATTTATCCATTGTTTTTAAATTAAAACGGGTTGGACACAGTCCGACCGGATGGACCGAGAATCGGTTTATAACCAGTCTAGTTCGCTTGAATAAAATATTTTCTCTCGAATCCGTAAACACCATTCGGTTGTACTGGTAGGATTGATACGATTTTCTAAATAAATTTTGTTATATTTAAAATTATTTTAAATAAAATTACATATTTAAATAAAATAGAGGTTTATAAATTATTTATCAATTAGTTTAAATATTTGAATTTATAAATTGTTTAGATATCTAAGTAACACATTTTATTTAAATTTATTACAAAAAGTACTCTATATATATATATATATATATATATCTAATGTTTATAAATTAAAATCTGAACAAACCACAAATGATTTAATAAAAATAGCTTGATCGTTTCGATGACGGTCCAGTTCTGAAAATCTTATATTTATTGTACATTAATAAATATTATAGTAAAATATTATTTAATTCACATAAATATTAATAAAATGATATATAAATATTCATAAATCAGTAAACATGTTGTCATAAAAGTATTGTTAATACGATTTATTTGAAGTTTGGACTACATCACATTCACGTAATAAAATATTTTCAATATAAAATTTATATTTAGGTTCAATAATTGATTTGGTGTGGTCGAACTGATACATAATTTAGTCACCTGGGACCAACCAAGTTGTGTCAAGTTTTTTTACTATTTTAAATATTATCTTAAAGTAATCAATCAACCTGGGCAGTACCCTAGTTCAATCACCCGATTGATCTGAATGAATTTTCTTATTTTCTTTAAATATATTTACTTTTATGAAATAAAAATATTTTATGATTCATATAATAAATGTCTACACCAAACGATAGTATATTAAGATTATAAATTATATATCTAAAATTGAATTAATTATTTTTACTTTATGCATATTAATAAAAAATAAACATAGTAATTTTCAAAAAGTTAAGATTAATTGAATGATTATGCAATTTAAAGAATATTTTTAGCGTCCAATATTTTTTTTAAAGGCACAAATTAAAGACCGAGATTCTAAAACTTTTGTTATATTTTGAATTGAGATTTAATAATTATAGAGACCGAGATTTTAATGTTGTTCGTTGTTTCTAAGAAAAAAATAAAATAAAAACATACAGACTTAATAAATCTTGGCCGGATTTTTTAAATAATAAAATGAACTAAAGCTCAAAATTTAAGGTAGCATTTAATGTTGTATGATTTTTAAAGAAAAATACAACAAAATGATAAAACTTACTATTTATAGGTTGCATTACATTCTGACCAATTTTTTTGCTATTATTTTTGGTAAATAGTAATTCTTATTATATATATATGATTTGGTAGCCATTGATCCCCATCACTGATTTGATTCCTTTCCAACTTTTCTTTTCCTTGATTATAGAATCCACTTTTCAATCTCTATCACAATTACCCAGTTTCTGCTGACTGCTGTAAGAAAACCATCCTAATATACTAGATACTTGGTGAGTCAGATTAAAGTTTAGTCTGATTCTGAATGGAAGGAAATTCTAGTATGTACATATTTTCCACCTCAGTTGATATATTTCAATTTGAGATCCTAACTTTTTCTTTTTAGTTATCTGGAACAAATTCACCAGTTTTTGGCTCAACTGTAGTACCCACTATTTACTTTTTGTCTATGCTAATGTCCGTAGTTAGCTCTGCATATGTTTTACTGAAGAAGTGTGATTATATGATACATAGCAGTTTGGCAGACAAACTAAGCTGCTTGAGCTATTCGGATATCGACTTGGTAAGAGCTTGTTAGAGTTCATCCTGTGAGGCTTGATCAAATTAGTGGTCCAAACTCAAGTTTAATGATTCAGCTTGTTAGTGAGCTTGTATATCTTATAGTATAATCTTAATTCTAATGTATATGTTTATCGATAATGGTTATAAATATTAAGATTAGCATATTTGTTCTTCTATATTTACGAACTTTAAAGTATATACATTTCAGAAACATATAATTTGCCTTGCAATAAATGGAAAAATAATTGAGTTTATCATAGCATGAACTATGCTTGATAACCTCGCGAACTATCAAAATACTTGATAAATTCTTGTGCTCGATTCATTTACAAAAGACACTCTCTCAAACGAGTTTCTGTTTTCAGGTTGAAATTCATCTGCAACAGTTGTTATTCTGCAAGTGACGTTATTGCTATTGTTAGTACATATTATGCAAATATAGATTATAGAGTTCTAGGAAAGTATATATATCATCTACAATTAAGGGGTTGATTGTATTTGGTTAGAATAATTAGTTTCTCAATTGTATATACAGAAATTCAGTTTCAACAGCTATAACTTCCTTGTATTTCTCTTCCTCAGGCAGAGTGGATGGCCCCGGAAGTGCTGAGAAACGAACCATCCAATGAAAAGTATGTATACTAAACAGAAAATATAAAAGAAAAACAAAATTGTATTTTGTGTTAAAAAATTGTGTGTTTAAATGCAGGTGTGATGTTTACAGCTTTGGGGTCATATTATGGGAGCTTTGTACTTTACGGCAGCCTTGGGGAGGTATGAACCCCATGCAAGTTGTTGGTGCTGTTGGTTTTCAACACCGTCGTCTTGATATACCAGATGACGTGGATCCAGCTATTGCTGATATCATCATGAGATGCTGGCAAACGTGAGTTTTTTCAAACATTTGCGATTTTTTTACTGTCAGCTTTTTCTGCAACCTTTAGGTTTTATCTTGATTTTACAAATTACCTAACCTTGCAGTAAAGTTCAATCATATGTCAGATAGTGTATAAGCATTTTATTTTATTTTTGATCGTTATGTATAAGCATTTTAGGCAGATAAGGGTCGTTTGTTCAGTTATAACTAAATATGAAAACTCTACTTGTTCAGTGGAATATAGTAATATGTGTAAGGATGGTATCTCGAACTTGCTTCATGGTTGCCGATTTTTTTTTTTTTTTTCTTATATGAATTTTAAATTTTTTATGTTCTACTCAGAGGAGCTTATGGCTTTCCGTCGTCTCTAAAGAAAACGTGCCTCGTGGTAAAAAAAATATACGAAATGTTGGAGTTCTTAATTCCGTATGCATGTCTGGAGATTTATCTGCCTGCTTCTTACTTAATTAGGATTAATTTTCTTGCAGAAATGTTCTTATGAACGGCCAAAACATAGTTACAGGTGAATGATAAATAAGTAAACTTCTTGTGGGTCAAAAATATGAAGATTTTTTTTTTTTTTTTATTATTATTATTAAATTGGCGTACAGAGATCCAAATTTACGGCCATCGTTTGCTGAAATCATGGCTGCCCTAAAACCACTTCAGAAGCCTATAACCGGTTCACAAGCAACAAAATCGAGCAGGAGACCTGAAAATGCACAGTCTAATGCTGTGAACTCGGAAAATCAAGTTGACCGTAAAAGCTAGAGAGGTGTGCAAAATATTTTTTTCTGATTGATTGAGTGCCTATGCAATGAGACTCTGATCAGGCATGTGCAGCATTGTTTTCAACATCATTGTTTGGGGTTGATTGGTCATGGAAGAAATACTCGTTTATCAACCCTTATGTATTTTTGGCTTTGTGATGCTCACTTTCCCGCCCAATTGTGCAGTTTTTATGTACATTGACGTGAATTTGTTGTTATTAATAACGTTTGATGTAGGGAGATGTGTGTTGCGATTGAATGGGAAAAATATTTGTAATGGGCATTACTATTCACCGCCCCCCAAATTACTAGTCACCGCCCCCCTTGGACAATTTTGCCCCTCTCATTTTTCGTAAACATCTCAGAGAAGTGTACGGTGAAATGTCGTCAAATTCCGAGGTACGAAAAAATTCGTGTCCGGACGTCGGTTCCGGACAGTTTAAAGCCCGTCCGGAACCGGCGGCCGGACGGCTTAAAGCCCGTCCGGAACCGGTGGCCGGACGGAGCAAATACCGTCCGGAAAGCACGGCCGGACGGACCGTGCCTGACCGGAACCGGCGGCCGGTCGGAACCGGTCCGTCCGGTCCGGCCGGCCGGACGGAATATTTTTTTTTTTTTTTTTAAATTATTATCATTATTATTATTAATTATTATTTTTATATAATTTATAATTTATAATAATTATCATTATTATTATTATTTATTATTCTAATTTTTAATATTTATAATTATTATTATTATTTGTTATTATAATTT